GTATACCTATGACATTAAGGTTAAGTGTAGAAATCAGCAAGCAGATTCGTCTGGGCGCTGGACTCTTGCCTTTTCTTGTAATTTGAATTACTTGAATAAAGATTATTATTATTATTATTATTATTATTATAAATGAAATATGCTTGGGATTTTTTTGTAGAATTTGAAAATGAAATTACATACAGAGCGTCCCATTGAAAAAAAATAAGTCCTGTCAAAATTCGATTTGACCAAAAAAACTAGCGTGTTATGTAGGTACTTTGTATTTTCGTTTTTCATTTGCCACCTGTGATAATGAGCTTCAGGTCGAGGGTCAATTCATGGTGAACCACCCTGTACAGGTGAAAAACATAAATATTACCCACAACTTTTCACAAATTTTACAAAAATATGCCCGTATAATTTTTTGCAAATTCTCTAAAATAGACAAATATTATAGCTAAGTATATCTTGATCAAGGAGATCCTCGTTCAGTTTCTCAAAAATGACTAGATGAACGTCAATTATCGAAAATAACCATTTTATGTTAATAAAATCAATATTTCAATTTTCCGAATAATAACTCTTAGAATAAAAATAGTGTTTAATATTCTCTAAGAGCTTCTTTTTATAATAAAGAACATATTTGCGTCTTCAGATCCCTTATGTACGCTTTTAGGGCGTGCCATATTAATTGAAATTGATGATGTTTTAGAATAATCATTTCCTTATTTTTCTCAGAACTTTTTTTCAAAAACACTCACATATCTTGAGTTAGGTATAACAAGTCTTATAAATATAATAAATATGTAATAAATTTTGACAGAAACGCGATGAAAACCATTACTACGAATCACAATATTGAGACAGCACTAGTAATAATCAAACATTTTTTAAAACCTCCATTATTTCCATACTTTTTAGAAGCAATTTCAATGTATCTAAATGCGTATAGTCTAGAATATAGGTTTGGCCCACTCTGTAAAGCGAATATTTAAAATGACAGACGTATAACAATTTAAAAGTCAAATGATTAAGTGTGATCATTAAAAATGATTATGACCCGTTAATGTAATCATTACTAAATAAATAAGATGCCTTTATTAAAAACATCACTATTTGCAACTACTTTAAATGGTGGATGACAATAAAATTTGTCTTTATTATGCACGGACGGTAAGCGACAATACAATACAAGAACAGATTGTTTTTTGTATGCAAACGGTAGGCTTCTTATTGACAATTGAAATTGTTTAAATAACTTCCATTATTTGCTTATATTATTTATGATGTAGGCTAATTGTTGAATCGATCCTTATACAAACTAGGACTAGTCCTTTTTTGAACTGTATAAAGTCTGTAAATCGCTAGGTTTTATGCGGGTAGGTACTTCTTTGACAGAATTTTCGCATTATGGTGTGCCAATAAAATCTTTTGACAGAATTTTCGCATTATCGTGTGCCAATAAAATCTCTTAAAGTTTAAATTTAGTACGAAAGAATACTATCACTGGATACAAGTCCATTCTTAGGCCCCTCTGGACTTATGGCATTCAGCTATATGGGGTACCGATAGTACCTCCAACAAAGATTCCAAAACAAAATATTGCGCGCCATCGTCGACGCGCCTTATTACGTAGCCCACGCATTGATCCAGCATGACATCCCTCTGGAATCCGTCAAGGAAGCCAAACATCGATTAAGTGCGAACTACATCCAAAGAGTGTTAGTGCATCCTAAGGCGTTGGCCAAAGAATTAACTGTGTTTGACAACAACGCAGTGCGTAGACTAAAACGCTGTCATTCAACCTAGCTGTAGAACCCAGATAGTTTCGACTTCGGAATTCATAGAAAAACAAACTGTAGATATTTGGATTATTTTTTAAAGGAGATCATTCACTAGACTGATACTCTACATGGTCATGCCACTACCTTCTAGTCATAATAAACGCTTATTGCCCTCAGGGTAGATTGCAGATCTCTCCAGGAGTTTTGAAAAAAAAAACAATCCATCTTCTCCCGCCAATTGCCTTCTCGATCTCAAATTCTTCGGATATGACATTTTCCATTTTTGGTTGGTTATTGATTTGTGTCTCCACGTCGTATCGGGATCTTGCTTTGAACCGTATGAGTCACTATAGAAGCTTTTCACAGCTGAAGTGATTTTGACTCTCCAACAAAGCTCTTATTAAGACAAACTCTAATTGAGTAGCCGACCCCTATTTATAGCTGACATCGTAATCGGAATTTTTCTTGAATAATTCGACGCCCTACTCGATTCGCCGCTATTCGCGCTAGTCGTAAACAACTTGATTCTCAGAATAGTCAGAATCCTGCCCGAACTGTGGCTGCATTTTCGTAACAGTATTATAAAAATCATATTCAGTCGATGCGAAATGTTAAAATTTTTGTAACCTATTCAGTACCTATCAAATTGGACTTTAAAATATAGCGGTCCATTATTCAAATTATCCAATTGATAATTTTTATTGAAATAGACTGCATCACGAGATCAATGGCGACACACGTTTAATGGATGGTTCAGTAATCATTAGCCTGTAGTGTTTTATCAACAAGTTTATCTTTTGTTCCATGTTAATTTTTTGCAGGCATGTTATCCAGTCTTCGTTCCATACATTTTAAGCCTCGATTCTCTACTATGACTATTTCTTCCATTGCTTCTTAAAAAGTTGTTTATTCTTTTTAAATTCTCTATATTCTATTGAATTCCGTTTGCCATCTCTTGGAAGACATTTTCTTTGCCATCTCTTGGAAGACATTTTCTTTGCCTCTTCAAATCCCTTGTATCAGCGGTTATCCTATTCGCCTTTTTGTTTTTCTTCTTCGCTACTTTCTTTTCTGTTCTGTCCCAGTGCCGGCCCGAGCCTACTTTCAGGATGGAGCGAGATCCGACTTTGGCGCCCCTAATTTAAATGTGAATCTTCTGCACATGGATTTTGACCATTGTAATACCTATGTCTCTATCTATCTTATCAAACTTGAAAACATCCATGTTCGTTGGTATAGATAAAACCAACTAAGAATGAAGCGTGATCTTTTGTCTCACTTCAAATGAGGGGGCCTTTAGAAAATTTGCCTTCTTCGTCAGTGATGACGTCAGGGGTTCTTCTTAGTTGGTTCTAACTATACCGTCTATATCTACTCTTTTCCCTTTAAGAGTTGATTTAACGTAGGCAAACAAATAATGGAGATTTCTACGTTTACCGATTTATTATAATATCTACTTTCCAAAGAGATCAGCTGTCACTACTTCAATAATTAAGTAGGGAGCTCCTCCTTGTTTACTAACACTTGGTTCACATTTTTTTATGAGATCGCAATCAATAATCAACTTTGGTAATATCACTTATTATTATTAACATTATTAACATTCAGGCCCGATTATTCATCTTGACATAAACTTGCTGTTAACTTATCTGCAAGATAAATGTTTCGACCTATAATCTATTGATCGGCGAATCACTAGTCGAGTAATGGAATTGCAGATAGAGTTTTTATCCGTCAGATTGCATTAGGTACCTGACAGTTTTTTTAGAAGGTTAATAAACCGGCTCTTATAAATATAAAAATCGAACCAGTAAAATACAAAATTGTAAGTGAATCGCTGTTTGCGCATTTGTGCATTTGCAAATTTGTTTATAATCCCCTCACATGAGAATTCTGAGCTATATATATGAGTTTCAATGGACAGCAGGGCTAGATCAGAAAGTATGTTTTCTGCTAGAATTGACTTAAGGTACGTTTTAGTTATTTTAAGTTTGACTGGTAAGCTTACTTAAGCTCCGTTCACCTTTCGCCACAACACTGGCTACAAAAATACGTAGAGCTCAAGAGCTGTCTAGATATTAGGAAACGTATATTGCCAATTATTCAATGCTAAGTTCTGGAGTACTACTTTTGGGTTATATTATTTTTATTTTTTTTTTCAGGGCCGGTTTATTCATTTTTTTATAAACTGTCAGGTAATGCAATCTGACGGACAAAAACGCAATCTGCAATCCTATTGGTCCGCGTTATCCGTATGGACCAATAGAATTATAGATCGGTGAATTTATCTTGTAGACAATTAACAGCAAATTTTCTTCTTGGAAATCAATAAACCGGGCCTTAAAAGTTCTAATCCCGAAATATTGTGATTATGATCATTGATCATGTAGGGGCGACGCCAAGCACGCGACTTCTGCGCGTCATAGAACAACGTCGCGACAGGTTATTCATGTGGGATTCACATACTAACTACAGGCTTGCTCGCAAGCAGAATAGCAGATAGCAGAATATCGAAAAGCGGAGACACAGGATTCAAAGCAAAAATATATTTTTCTCTTTTTTTTATCACCAATAAGGAACGAATTGTAGGCGCCCCCCCGAGATCTGGCGCCTGGAGCGCTCGCTCCGTTCGCCTTATGGTAGGGCCGGCCCTGTTCTGTCCTTAAAAATGTTGGGATTAATCCATTCAACTTCTGGTGAAATGCGGGCCCATTTTGTGACCTCTTTCTTCTGTCATTCCTGGATTTGTATCGTATCCGAAGTTGCCAATTCTGTATTGGGAGTCCTACTCATAAAGTGCAACATTTTCCTAAATTAAAAAATATTAAATTTGAACAAAATAAAAAGAGCTGATGAAATCCTATAATGCCTCCAAATATACTACTATACAAATTTCCGGATGAGCGGATGCCAAAAAAAAAAAAGTTAAAACGAGTAGATAATAGATTTGTTATGATAATTAAATTTCTATTTCAATTGGTATTCTATTACTGAAATAATTCAATATAAGTACATACCTTATAATAAGTTCCAAACAATATCGTACCGAATTATTCACAGTGTCCCAATCTTAATCAAACAAAACTATATAACTTATTATCGAAGTTATTTGGTAGTAAACAAAATTTAGTTTACTATCAGTTATTCTGCGAGTCGATGATAAATTAGGTATTCATTCAATTAAAAATGTGTTTAATCTTATGATTAAGTGCTTAAAAAATTCTTTTGTTGCAGATTACAAAAAAAATCCGAGTGCACTAATTCCGCTAAACGTGCTGGCTATCACAGTTCACCGCGAACACTAGGCGATTCATTTAGTTATGTGTTCGGGATTGACCAAGAAAAATGACAAATAACACCATGAATCTAACAACAATAACAACGGAAGTTATCAAAACTCCTCACCCCATGTCAGGTTTTGTGATTCAAGTACTGGTGACATTGTCTTTCATCATAGGTATAGTAGGAAACATGACAGCGCTAGTAATTCTGTACAGGTCAGCTAAAAGAAGAAACAAAAAGCATGTTTTACTGCTAAGATGGTTGGCTATCAACGATTTGACAGCTGCTGTAGGTATGTTGACGGTAACAAACCTAAAAAGATATGAGGTTTTGCCCGAATATTGGACATGCACAGCATTGGTTATACTGAGAGGATTTGGTATTGGATCTGGTATTGTGGCTTTGATAATGGCACTGGAAAGATGGTTTGCCCTTACTAGACCATTCTTGTATCATAAGGTAAGAAATCTAATTTAGGAGCTATCAACACATTTTTATATTTTGAATAATGTTTGTTACAGAAAAATAGAGTAAGTAGCTGCAATGAATGCATCTTTCAATTAAAGTCCTCGCCTCACGCCCTTAAGTTATTTCCAATTAATCACACTCAAGCTGTTATTATATTGCTTTTTTATGGTCGTTAATTTGTTATTTTCTTAGCATTCATTTGGTCCCCCAATTATCTTAGGTATAATTTCTAATTAGATGGGGGATGCAGTAACGGGCCTTTTATTAAAAATATAGATAAAATAATATAAGGTATACAGTATACAGGGTAATTTACGTAGCCCGTGCATTAGAAGTTTTTGAGGTTGCAGGGGGATTAGACACTTCAAAATTTGATTTTCAGATCTTCAACTATATAGGGTGTAACAAATGTAAGACTAAATTTCTCATTTCAAATAGAAACTCGCATCTTTTTCAACATAGTTCGGTTGGCCTTGCAATTTTGAGTTTGGACCATCCAAGTTTTGTCAACATATCTTTAATCGTTTTTGACATAAATGTCATTTTTTGTTTCAAGATGCCGCTGCAGTTCTTTAGGAGAACAAGGTTTAAAGTAATAAACCAAATTAAGATGATCATTAGCTGAAATTTCAGGCTAACTTCATTATTCATTCATGTGTCATTATTGCGCCCATTTATTCATACTATGGTTGCAGGCGACCTACAAACATCGGAAGCAATAATGGTCAAAAAGTCAATTTTACCATTGGAAATGTTTATGTTCTCGCGTATATGGCCAATGGGGATCAAATTTGAACTAATGACACATCAGGAGTTAGCAGCTAATGATCATCTAAATTTAGTTTATTACTTTTGAACGGTTTTCGAGAAACCTTGTTTTTTCTGAATAACTGCAGCGGCAGTTTGAAACAAAAAAATGGTATTTATGTCAAAAACTATAGAAGGTAGGTATTGACAAAACTTGGGTGGTCCAAACTCAAAATTGCAAGGCCAACTGAACAATGTTGAAAAAGATGCGAGTTTCTATTTGAAATAGGAAAGTTATTAGTGCTTATATTTGGTACACCGTGCATAGTTGAAGATCTGAAAATAGTTATTTTCGATGAAACCGGAACAATTGATTATGGCTACAAACCAAATTTGAAGTTTCTACTCCCCCTGCAACCTCAAAAAGTTCTAATGCACGGGCTACGTAAATCACCCTATAATAAATCTTCCTGGATGCATATTTCGGGGCAAGCCAATTTTTTGGTGCCTACTATTTTTTGGTTTGAAAAAAATAAATAAAAAATTAATTATCGATTTTTAGTAGATGGGTATATTTTACAGGCCGTTTTGCCAACGTAACCTGCAGTCCGTAACTTCAGGGCGTGATTTCTTATATTTTGAGGAAAAAAGTTCCTATACATTTGTACGGAAATGCCTGGTTCCTGGATTTATAAATATTTCACTAAGGCGTTATCATTCAATTGTGTAACCTTCAAGTCAGTAATTAAAAATTGTTATTTTCCAAAGAAGTTTATGAGATAAATTCCTGTAGAAATAGATTTTGGTAGTTTTTTCAAGTGACAAAAATATAATAATTATGAGATAGATTTTTTAATTTTCAGCAAGTTCATTGTAGAATAAACATTTCTTTAAAAATCGAGTTTATGGGTTGCAAAATTAGTTATCTTTTTTACGTGCAGGTGCATAGAAAATATCAAATATTTGATGATTCAAAATCAGTTTGTAAAGGAAACAGTAACAATAATAGAACATTTTTCAGCATCACACCACTATTTCCTCAAGGGCAATAAGTATTTATAGCGGAAGTCAAAAACGATTAATAATATTTACCAGTTGATCATTAAGCCACTGAGACGACGCATATAATTTGATCCGATAGCAGTAATTTAAAGATTATCTATCTTATATCGTATTTGCATTCATACCGGAATTCTGTTTTGTATAACAAATGCTTTATTGGGTGAAATATCTTCTTTTTGCTACCAACAATTTAAATTTATTCAAAAAAGTAGTCCACACGAAAAACAGGTAAAAGCTGCCAAAAAGGCTCTCTAATCGGTGGTATAAGTCCATTAAGTCCTCTCTCTCCCTCTGGGAATTATTCCATCTTCTGACTCGAAATAATTAAAGAAAAAAAATAGCACTAGAGAAAGGGGGCGTGGAAAATTGTGAGATAAAAAAATCGTCCTACCACTCAAATGGTGCATATAACCGTAAAAAAAAACAACTAAATCTGGCAAAAAAAGGCAAAGTAGGCAGCAAGAAAACACTCAAATTTTCCCTCCTAAAAGGTGAAATTTCCAAAAAATCCTTTCTTAGCGGATGCTGTCGTTATAAAACAGACCTGTGATCCCAATTTCAGCTATGTAGACTTCAGCTCTTCTGACTGTGCGTTGATAGATTAGTCAGTCAGGACAAACGATTTTATAGATCCAGATTACTATCCTCGTGCTGTCTCGGCATTTTCATAGAACTACCTCTAACATCTACATACATATTTATATTGTTTATAGTATTTCAGTAAAACATAAAAGCCATTTTCTTTTTTCAAATATTTTCCTATCACCTATTCACAAAAATATAAAATATTTACCTACTTATTTTCAGTTGGTGACCTACGATGTTCTTAAGCGAACTTTGTGTTCCTTATGGCTAGGAGCTCTACTCATGACATATTCACCTTTACTTGGATTTGGCTTGTATTACGATTTTGAAAAAGAAAAATGTAGTCGTTATAGGTTTGCTGTAACGCCGAAGGATAAAGGTTACGCTTGGCTAAATTTTGCCGTGGGTAAGTTAATTTAAATAAGTAGGTAACAAAATTTTTATGGTACATTTTTTCACCACCAAGTGTTATTGGTTTTGTCAAAATAATTTTGATGTCAATCTCTATCGCTCTGGACGAGGTAAAGCAGCTTATCATTAACAAATCCATATTTTCAGGTTATTCGCATCTGGTTATATCAGGGCCCATCTCATTTATTCATTTATCTTCACTTTAAAGTAGAAGTACCACAGTTTGTAGTACCTACTTAACAAAATAATTTTTATGTCAATCTCTATCGCTCTGGACGAGGTACAGCAGCTTATCATTAACAAATCCAATATTTCTAATGATCAATACCCGTCACTGACCATGTGAAACACTTTGGCATAAGAGTAAACCTCATCAAAAAAGACTTAATCCTCATCAACACCTACAATAAACGGCTTGAAAAGTACTATCTTAAACAAGAAGACTTGGACATTGGTGCTGCATATCAATCAATGAGGCAGATATCTTCATTTTCAACTATATTCAAACCAATATAATCAAAATTCACGCCCCGCACTACCACATCACTCCATACATTTTGGAAATAGTCCCTTCCAAAGATGTTTTTTGTTACATTATTATGAGCAGCATTCATGAACTCAGCTCAGATCACAACCCAATCAGCCTACAACTTGGCATTTCCTATAATCCAATTACTGTCTAGTCAAAACTTCACTCGATACAAATCGTATATGTTTCCTCCTTCTCTCAATGTAAACATTGAATCGAAAATGTAATAGCTGCATTTACTCAAGAACTCTCCAACATCTCTCAAAAACACCCGCGATCACTCGATACCTCCTATTCTATTCTAATGGTCGTCGATTGTGCATTTTCTGATGGCTATATAAACCAATTCTGGAACCGCACACTCTTCCACAGTCTTGGCACACTCAGCCTCTAGCAGCATTGTCTCTTCCTCTATTCTCTCGCTCCTTCCTGCGGTCCCTCTTTTCAGTCTCGTGTCTGCGTCGCTGCTCTTCAAAAGTTTGTGGTCAGTCGTGGACTACTCGACGTCATGAGGGCCTATCATTTAATGTCGTCTCCCAGTTGCTGGTATCGATGCGAGACTTTGACATATTTTCCTTAAGAATATCTTTGTAACATCTTTGATTTCGTTTTATCACTTTCAGTTGACTGTAGAGAATCTGTCGTAGAAGACGTGTTTTGGGCATGCGGACGAGGTGACCTGTCCAGCGAAGTTGGTGGTTCTCTAAAAAACTGATATTCGTTCTTCGGTCTTGCCAATAATCCGTAGGATCCTTCCTAGGCATTGCTTGTGGTATTTTTCTGGGCTTTTAATGTGTCTTCTGAAGGTGGTCCATGTTTCGCAGCTATATGTAAGTGCGTTGGTATTACAACTGCATTGTGAACGCAAAATTTGGTCTCAGCGCTGATGTCAAAAGTGTTGAAGACCCTCTCTAGAAGTCGCCCCAACGCCGCTCTAGCACTCTTCAAGCGATGTTGGTTCGTAATCTGTTCAGGTTGAATAAGCCGCTATCAAGTCTGTAAAGGATTTCCACTCCTGACGACAGGTGACCCTCGACAAGTTGAAGTAGGTGAGTATGGATCCTATAGATAAAATAAAGTGGTCGCTATAACACAGCCGTGTTTAACGCTGTAGTTGTCCATCCTTGTCCTCCTTGTCCATCCTTGCTTAGGATGGTTGCATTCATATTATCATGCAGCAGGAGTATCTGGATGTCCTTTTTCGGACACCCAACCTTTGCCATTATCTTCCAAAGAGCTTCTCTGTTAACCGAGTCAAATGCTTTCACTAAATCTATGAAGGCCATGTATAGAGGGCAATTTTCTCTGGGTTTCTCTTGCATTTGTCTTGCGCTGAAATCATGTCAGCTGTACCTCGGTTGGGTCTAAAGCCATATTGTGTCTCTGGGAGGTTCTCTCCGGCAGTTGGGGAACTGCCGAGCATCCCAACAGCCACACATCCCATTCTTTCTCACGCCCTCTGGAAAATAATTACGCAATTAACAGACTCAAAAGGCAAGCTATCCAGGACAAGAGACCCTCTTCAAACTCAAATCCAATAGACTTCTAGACCTCATCAATAATCAAATCCAAATCACAAAAAAAGAAAAATTCTTAACAGGCCGCTCATCACTATTCACGTTAGGGTTAGCTAGACTGGTGTACATTTACAAAAGTCCAAAAAGTTTTTAAGGGTATTTTTTGAGGTGTATTTCATAGAAGCTATGACTTTTTGACGTCGAAATTATAAATGGTAAAAAAGGTAACAGATAATTTTGTCACAGATATGCCTAAAAGGCTATTTTAAGAAGCTAGATAAAAATGCTCATGAGAAATACTCTATATTTCAGGTGGTTTGGTATGCCTTTGCATAGCTCTATGCAATATAGCGGTAGTACTGGAGCTGTCGAAGATAAGATTGCAAAATACAGTACTGGTAAGAAGAATTAGTCGTTCGTTAATTGTCAACAATAGAACAGGCGCCTCTCGACATCACCAGACTCCTGAAGAAGTAGCTTTCGCTAAATTAATGGCTTATATTTCTGTTATATTTATCGTTTGCTGGGGTCCTCAAATTGTAAGTATTTTTGAAGGAATCTTAAAGATATAAACTAGAAATCTTTTCCGTTATATAGGTAGGTAGCTATTCTGAAAAAAGTTGAATAGTCAGTGAACGGATTTTTAATTTTTAATTGTAAAAAACCAAAAATCGATTTTCCTATGAAACCTCAGTTAGGGGCTTGATCAGATTACCTAAAAAATAAATACAGAGAAATAGAAACAAACTCTTCATTGAGCTACTTTTCGATCATTTCAGATAACAGTGCCAATAGCGCAGCTAGGAGATACTTCCAGAGCTTCAAGGATATTTACGCACATTGCAGACATGTGTATGGCATTCTACTTCACTTTGGATCCTTTTGTTTATGTGCTACAGAGGTATATAGAAAGGGGAAATATGGGATTCACCTGGTGCTTTCTGAAGAGGCAGAAATCCACTACAAGCCTCCCTACAACTACGACCACTGCCGGAGGTACTTCAAGTTCGGTTTTAATCACTCAACCTCTCTTTTCTGCACCTAGTAAGGTTTGTTTGGTGTTGGGCAAAACTAATTTTAAGTAAGTAGATTAAGCTTTGATAAACTTGGTCGGAAACCAAATGAGTTGTATGCTAGGAGACAATAATGATTGTAGAATTCACGTATTTTTGCTTAGTCTAGTGAGTTACATGGTTAAGGTATATACCTACCTTGGAATTATTTGGCCAATCAAATTCCAGATATTCGTGAATATACGACCATACGCCTTATATATCAGCGAATAATAAGCTACTTGCTTCACAATAGTAATTACAAACTGTAATTAACTTTTGTTTTTGTTTTGATTTGACACGGAAATGCAGTCAGTATATTTTTAATAAGTAGGTACCTAACTAGGATTTTTCTCTCCAGGGAGCTGAGATGAGATTTTTTTTCCACGTTCCTATGAAATTCTTGGAAAAAATAATTGTTTTTTTCGGGGTGGTCCTTTGGGAAGTCCATCGATGGGATTGTAGGAAAACTATAATTACAACAAAATCTGAAACTTTAGTTACTCAGGTCATTGAGGGACATATCTTCGTCTGCAATATTTTCAGGTTATTCGCATCTGGTTATATCAGGGCCCATCTCATTTATTTATTAATCTTTACTTTAAAGTAGTAGTACACAGAACCACAGTTTTGTAGTACCTACCTACTTAAAGGTTAACTAAAAACCTTTATTTTATATCTCAAGCGATATTAAGCATTTGCTCGCCATTTTATTTATAGAATTAGAAGCAATTGCTACAGAAACTTAAGAAAAAGCAATAGTGATTATTCTTCAATATTTATCAGGGCCATGGTCTATTATTTGGAACCCCATAAACCTAAAAACATACTACATAGACCTAAAATATTTTATGCATTCCTACGATATCAATGGTTTGGTCAAGATTTTTCAGATTTTTTTTTTATTATGTAGGTACCTATTTTATGACTTTTTCTACCTGTGATGCGCAGTTGTACAGTGAATAACCCTTTGCAATGTAATGTAACTAACTCAAAAACATCTTGAACATTTTTAACAATCACAATTTGTTTGCACCAATACTGTTACAAAAATGTTGGGTTTCACGGAACCACAATAATTATTATAGATTGAAATTACTACTCTCTTCAAGTCTTTCAAGGAATTTGAATTTGTTATCACCTCAATTAAGTTAGTACTTTTTTGTAGAACCACTTAAATGGAACACCGACACCAGGACCGATCACTTGGTCTAAATAAGAACCGAATATTTAATGTTATGCTTACCAAGAAGAATGGGGTTCGTACCTACCTTTTACTTTATAATAATACCTACATACTTACCAAATATATACGTTATTGGTATTACTTACTGTAAGTGTAATATTAGTTGAATCACTGAAAAATTTTCAAATTCAAAAAATCACTTTCTATTAAGTTCGCCAAGCTACTTTTGTAAACCGAAAAGTTTCACAGACCTGATATTTTACTTTTAATCGGCTATTGAGGAGCTAAATACTCGGCCTAATAAGACTGATTTTTTTGCCACATGTCAAATTTGACAATTTACTAAATACAACCATAGAAGCAATTCCTCAAAAAAATCCGCGATTTGCATTTTATAAGTAAGGAATTCTTCATATTATTGAGTGGATAGAGGCTTCGAGTCGGCTTTCAGAAACTAGCAAAGTTTTGACACAAGCCTATGTTTTTGGGTACCTGGAAGCCTCAATCATTCAATAGACGAAAAAGTTAAGACTCAAATGTGTTTCAAAAACTAATATAATTTTTATTTGCGAAAGTTGAACTTGAAAATAAACGAACTGGTCATTTAGAAAACTGAAATAGCCGTTCAAAAGTATGTAAGAAAGATATCTACGCAGATTATTATAAGCTTTTTTATATATTTTTCTGTATTATGAAATTCTTTATTAAGTGTTTGGGATAGAATTAATCGCCTTCTACACAGGCGTGCAAGTCAGCCTTTCCTTTTTAACTGTAGTCTAATTGTTAAGAGTAAATTGCTAATTTATGATTTAACCATTCAATCATATTATTCTGGTAATAGACTGATATTTCTAATGTGATAGATTTAATGCATTTGATGTATGTACTGTAATATTATTACCTACTAAAATAAACATTTATTACATAAATAATTTCTTTTTTTTACCTTGCCAAATAGAGGATGGCAATAGATCAGATTTGTTTTTGGGAAATTCTGTTTATTAATATATCTGTGCCAAGGACTTACATCACATCGAATACGTATTATGGATGTAAAAGCAAGTGAATAAGTCTTAAAGATAACCATGATTCCTCACAAATACAGATCTTCATTTAAAACCAAGCCTGCCTGGAATTATTGATGTGATGGATTTCCTGGAAATTCCCTGCATTTCTAGCTTCAGTTTATGTATACTTGTGAACAAAATTATCAAGAACAGTTCATTTAACAAATTGTCAATGAAGTTCAATATTTTTTCTCATAAAGGTAGTGTTATACATTATGGATGGTAGGTTGGAAATAACAACATGACCAAAGTAAGAACATAAAACGTTTATTGTGCTGTATGCACAAAGCGCGGTGTTGCCAAAGAAAAAATCAACAAATGTTTGGCATTAAATCACCACTTGGCAATGGGTTATTTATTTTGAAATAAAATCATCTTCGGTTGCTTCTCCTGTTTCGCTATTCAAAAAGGATCAATATTTTGCATTCTACATCTAAGTAACTGAAACAAAAGTAGAAAATAGAAGCAACACAAACATCTCTAATTTCCGCTGCAGCAGCTTGAACCAGGGACGTAGCGAAGGCCTCTGGTTTGGGGGGGGGTGACACTCCTAATTTTCCCAACTTTATTGAAACATAAAAAAAATCATATGTAGCATCGTACACGTGTTAAAAAGTAGAACTTCTTAAAAACTATTCCCTCTCTCATACGACTTTTAGACTTAGCGCATGAGTCGGGGTATATAAAGACGAAAGGCTACACAAAAGACAAACGCGCATCTGTAGTGACATCACAAAGATATCGGCGCTTTATAATAATAGGCAATCCCTTCGTTTATACTCTTTGGTTTGCGTCAATCGTTCGTCGGCTGTCATTGTCATTGGCTGTCTTTCTCCGCCTGTCTACGTTATATCTTTCTTCACTCTCGTCTCTCGTGTGCCGAAATTTCGCAAAACGTGTCATTACGTGTAACGTGACGCGTCTTTCAATTTCTCCATTCTCTCCATTTCCATTCTCGTCCAAATCAGACCGCCGCCTAAGAAGTTTCACTCAAAAAAATCATGTGTAGTATCGTATACGTGTTAAGAAGTGAAACTTTTTAAAAAGTATACCCTCCCTCATACAGCTTTTAGACAGCGTATGAGCCGGGGTGAAAACGAAGGGTCACACAAAAAAGCCAAAAGGGAGTCGCGCATCTTTAGTGACGTCACAAGGGTATCGGCGCTTAACAATAATAGGCTCTCTGCTTATAGTCCTTGGTTTGTGTGAATCGTTTCTCGTCTGTCATTGTCATTGGCTCGTTTTCTCCGTGTCTCTCTACAGCCTACATTATATCTTCCTTCTATCTCATCTCTCGTGTAACCAAATTTGTCAAAAAGTGACGTTACGTGATGCGTCTTTCAAATCACTCCCCATATTCTCGTCTAAATATCAGACTGCCGCCTAAGAAATTTCACTTCAAAAACTGATAAAATGTTTGACATGTATACATCGTGATTTACGTAACCGGCCTCAGACAGCCGGCAGGCTTATTTTCTATGAACAGCAATTACATAGCAACCAGCAACCGATCGCAAGTTGTTTTTTTAGAATAGAAAATTCGCGTTTGACAGCGACAATGTCGCAATTATCTGCGGGCGCAAGTTACAGAATAAGCTGGCCGTGCATTAGAAGTTGTCCAGTTTGCAGGTGGATTAGTAAAAATAGCATCTAAACCACCTGCAAACTAATGTCAGGGGCTACGTAAATCACCCTGTATATTCCAGACCTACAATTAATATAGGTAATCAAATAAAAGTAACACTGCATAAAAAACGTGAATGAGAAAAATGTTTCGAGAAACCAAAAACTATTTCTTCAACTCAAGAGCAAAGAATTCAGACTAATTCAGAGTTTTGCTGAAATCTGAATACCGAGCGAAGAATGCGCAGAACGCAAAAGGCAACATAATATAAAAGGTTTGGATTATCTAATATACTATATTGTCCATCACTCTCAAACACAACGCGCTTGCAACAACAAACTATAGATATAACTACGTCGGTCGTCGGTCTTGAATAGAGAATAGTGCTAGTAGTGCTAGTGCCACTACTGCCACGAGTGCCACGGGCCACTGTCAAAGGCTAGTGGTGCTAGTGCAGTGCAAAGTGCAACGCAAGAGATCGCCACGACCATTGGGATTTCGTCATCCTGTTGTCCGATGATTTTGCAATTCATTACGACTCGTGACACGATCCTAATGTTAATTTTAATTAGTCTTCGAAAATGAGGTGCGCAAATTTTTGTCTACCAATTTTTCCCAACTTTAAATTTTTTATTCAAATTTTCCCAACTTTCGATATATTTCAGGAACTTTGGGAGGGGGGGGGGGGCGTTGTCCCCCCCATGGCTCCGTCCCTGGCTTGAACCTTCAGGGACTTTCCACTGCAAAGGAACCTTTCAACAAGCACGAACTGTCCTTTGTTTGAAGGTACTTTTTGATGTATCTTGTAGCAAGGATTTGGAGACGTTGCTGGTACTGAGTAATCACTTCTTTCGGAACTGCAATCTACAAAGAAGAAATCTGTTGGTTAATATATTATGTAAATGGCTGCTCAAATAGGTTTTTTTTTTAATTGATGAAGTGATTTTATTTGCTATGGCCTGAAACATATTTAACTCATTCAACTGGGAATTATAGACAAAACATATTTTGAACTAAATAGTCATCATGTCTTGGATGTTTTCTATACCTGATCTCCTTTGAGTCGATTCAATATTGTCACACAAACAATTGCCGCTTTGATGCCGGCCTGGTGGGTGAGAGCAGAAAAAGGCACCGATTCCATTTCGATATTTTTCACTCCTTGCGTGACTAAACTTTTCAAGTACTCTTGTTTTTCTACTTCGGTGTAATCGCAAAACGCACCATCGATCCTTCCTTGACCTACAAAAAGAAAAAATTAGCAACTTAATAATTACAAAATTTAGTAAGATTTAGTCTTGTGCAATGCTCTACCAACTGACAAAATGGAAGAAAGTTGTACTGGACCTTGTAACGTAGCAAACAATTATGTTAGCTTAATCAAATAAAAGTGGACGTTAAAATGAAAATGTGTTTCATTTTGGCTCAACATGTATTTCAACCTCTACCAAGTATTCGCTGAATCAATTATTCAACAATAGAAAACGACGCAAATTTTCATGGCAAAATAAGATCTGAAACCACTAAACTAGACATTAAATATAAAAGATGAACGATTTTGGGTTGACTTGTAGAATGAACTCAGAACCACTATAAGGGATTTGTCGAAAGCATTGTAAGAAGAAGTGACAAGAACAGTAAAAGAAAGGGAAAATGTAAATCACCAGGCGTAAATTATGAAACTTGGTGGAAGCACCCTTGATTTATCAACTATATGAAACAGATGAAGACCAAAATTAATCAAATAAAGGTAATGAGAGGAGTGCGTAAGAATGTTATCTCTCGGCAGGGTGCAGATATTCATAGTTTCTTTAATTGATAGCCGCTTTCCAGCTGACCATTTTGAGCAAATGCTTCAAGCGCGTGTTCGTGTTCCAGCCGTACAGCGCTTCGAGAGCTGCTAACTTTTGCGTTTCAAACACAGAACACTGTGCTGCACCGTGCTTGAAGCACAAACACAAGTCAGCTGGAAAGCGGCCGATATAAGGTAGAAAGAACAGATTTCAAATTCAAGGGTAGGCTTCTTTGGGCTCAGATGAAGAAGGTTAATTAGAGTTAATCGTATTATCACCATCTACGGAATTGATAAAATCTGAAGCCTCTTAGGAAGAGTGTAAATTTGGTTTAATTATTAATCACCTTCATAGAAATCTTCTGCACACATGGTGGTTCCAGTTGTAGTGTCATAAGGATCGTCCTGGGCTACCAAAGCTTTCAATTCCCTCACCAGTTTTTTGTCCAGCTTCACTGGTCTTTTGAGGACTTTTCCTAAAATTGGCTGAAAATATGAACAATTTAATAGAAGATTCTTACTATACTTCTGTTTCAATCTAGAATCAATAATGAAAATTTCGATACAAAGATAAATAGTAAATGTAAAAAATTATCTGGGTAAAAGTCAGTTTGGGTGAAAAATGTTATCATATTGCAATAATCTGAAGTGCATATTCTTACCAGAGAATAATAATGATTACCCAATCCATTCATGGCGTCATCAGAAATAACAACGGTACCAGGCTCCAAGCCCAAACCACCACAAGTACCTATTCTAAAGAAAATCGGGTCTTCCGCTTTCGCGTGATACATCAGTTTAATCATTTCATGTAGAAGAACTCCAATAGAGGATGATCCAATGCCGTGCTAAAATAATTACAATAATTTCCTACATTTAAAACATATTCCATATATACTTACACTAACAGATATAACAGGTCCAACTTTATATATGCTATACCTATAGGAGTGCTGACTGATATCCATTAGAGTGGTACCGGTGGGTATTTTGTAGCCAATTTCCTCCATGATGTAATGTGCAGAGGTTTCCATACGTTTTGGGGTACCACCCATACAAACAAACTGAAATTCAAATATGAAAATATATTTTCACAGTCGAATATTTGTAAATTTCTTACTTTAACATCCCCAAACATTTCCACCAAATCATGAGATTTGCTTCCTAAAGCTATATGATACAGAATATCCTGATCAAAAAGTTCAATGTGTGGATTCCGAAGTTTCACCGTTCCATCTCTATATTAGAAAAATTCAAAGAATTTGATCATTGTAGATCAAATTGTTTAGTTAAGTCCTTTCTTGTTAGACAAGTAAAAATACCTGGTTTCTGACGAATCAGCTCGCTTTTCTTCCTGTTCTTTGATCATTTTGTCAACAGAATTTATTTCAACTAAATTACAATCAAAAAATATCGTTAAACTATCAAATTTAAACAATAAACATTTAATCGCATGTGCAAACAAAATTTGTATTATTCATCATTAATGTTTTAAGGGGTGTTTTTTAATTGATTTACGAATAACTTAAATGTAAATATTATAGAACACTTATTTGTTTGATAAATATTATATATTTTTTTTTTGGATTACAATATCTGAGCTATGACTGATGTTATAAAATAACAAAGATAGCCTCTAAAGCCGTTGACGTGTATATTGATGACAAGGACTCTAGAGAATGAAGTTTCGCCTTGAAGAATAGTGTAGCCTGGTAAATAATCAATCGGCATTTTATCAGAAAATTCTGATAGAGAATAATCAAGACCAAGACAATCAGAGAAGGCTTCAATCATATACCGTTTCGCGGCCCGCTACGTGGATGGAAGAAACAGTTTTGAAATTGGACAGTAAAGCGATCAGTTATAGTGATATAGTTTCGTGAACAGTTAGGCTGCACTATCTTTTTTTATACTAAAAAAAATATATATACACCTAAATAAATAATAATTTAATTATCTTTAGGGCAGAGTGGTTCGCGATTTGGCCAGGTATAGACTATGTCCGTTGATTGAAGCTATGTCTGAACAGTGAATCGCAACAGCAACATCAATGATACATTATACTCATTATAGTGAATAATTGTGGATATTCACAGTCTACCGCCTACTATTGGATATTTTTTACAGTAGGCATTACATACTTGTGAAAACAAGTAATTTGAAAAAACAATGAGGGTCCGATATAAGTTTTTACAAACTCAACAGAATTTTGAAATTATAGGCTAGGTTAGTTCAAAATCACGTTGTTGTAGGCTTACAATGTTAGCACGCGTGATAAGGGATCTCAAAAATTATTCTTGATGATGTTATCATTTGTCTCTCACATAACATCACTCACTGAAAATGTTGGGATTTATTAATTTGCAGTCTTGTTAGAGCTGTTAGAAGCCTTTTGGATTATGCTACCGCTGTGTGGGACCCTCCAGTACCTTCGTTTCTCATATCGACAGGATTGAGCTTGTCCAGATGAAATTCATGCATACGAAGAAATGTGTCAAAGGCTAAATCTGTTATCACACTCATCACTTCAAGAATAACAAAGTATTCATGATCATCTCCCTCCTAAAATTCTTAACTCCCTTGTTGATTGTCACTATGTCACTTCCAACATCACCACTATCTACGGTCAAAATTCCTTTGATCCCAAATTCGTGTTTGTTTTGTAAACGACTCCTTAATTTTTTCTTTCCACACAGGGCCGGTTTCTCAATAGCAACTCACCCCCGGGTTAAGCATAACTCCAGGGTAAAGTTTGACGAAAACCAATAACGATTTGCTGCCTCAGCTTCAGCAGTAAAAATAATAAAAGTGGGTCACAATGTTTAATTATTTCGTATAAGCATCATATGTTTAAATTATAAAATTATACATAGGTAGTAATATTAAAATAAAGGAAACTAGATTTACTAAGTTTGACTTTACAACACCAGAAATAAAATTGTGTTAGGCAATTTGGGGTGGTTTATCAATTTTTCATTTTTTCTGAGTGCCTTTTTTCATAGAATCCGGCTCTAAATCTCGAAATAGTTTAGTGTACCTATGGAGTTTGGGGGGTCCCAAACCAACCCGGAGGTGACTCGCTATTCAGAAACCCACCATCAAACATTTTCAAGGGCACTTGGTACAGGTTAACCTTGCTAGATTATCTTAGCTTAATCTGGGAAAATAGCTTAACTTGAAAAGTCTTTTTATAGGAATTAGGAAACCCAGGAAGATTGATTGCAAATCATCAAATTTACAATTCAATTATACTAAACTGCTGGACAATTGCTTTCAAGCAAGGAAATTTTTTCGCCTTACTTTCAAGCTCAATATTTTCGGAGACAGACCAAATATCGACCTCCGGTTTTTCACGGGCTGGCAGATTGATTTTTTGTTAAAAAAGTTGCTATATGGAAACCAGAGGTCGATATTCTGTTTCCAAAAATATCGGGCTTTAAAGTTAGGCTCTATTTTTCTTTTGCTCGAAAGCAATTGTCCAGCAGTCCAGGTAAGTTTCTATTTTTCTTACTTGTTAAAAATACCTATTTGATTTGACCCTTGACTGAATCTGAAATTTGAAGTTTTAGGTATAATGTGTGGTATGGGTATGGTGCAAACATATTTTTATATGACACATTTGACCCACAAGTTGAGAAGTGAAGTAAATAAAAGAATCATAATCACTATATAGTATAAAACAAAGTCGCTTTCTCTGTCCCTATGTCCCTATATCCCTATGTATGCTTAAATCTTTAAAACTACGCAACGGATTTTGATGGGGGTTTTTTTAATAGATAGAGTGATTGAAGAGGAAGGTTTATATGTATAATAACATCCATTAAATAGTGGAGAAATACTGTTATTTTTGAGGTTTGACAAGAAAGCTGTGAACGTTGTATATAAAGACATTCTGTAATATATTAATTGTTGTAAAAATAAAATAAATAGGTAAAAATGTAAAAAGTAAATAAGTAAAAATGTAGTGTATAAATTTAGATATTCCAAAGATAGCAGAAAATCTTCATGGTATAGGGAAAGGGGAATTGTTTTACCCCAAATTTAACGCGTGCGGGCCACGGGGAGTAATGAATAAATCAAAACTACTGGATCGATTTTAATCATTTTTTCAGTGAGTGACATAGGCTATATATTTTATACCCATGCGAAGCCGGAGCGGGCCGCTAGTAATTGATAAGAGGATGATAGAAATTCCTTTTGTTGATAGGAAATTGAAATAAGGGCTGGATCCTGAGATGTATATTTACTGTTGTATTTCAAGACTGGAATTGCATTGTTTTGATGCAATTTTTGTATTAGGCATCTGACAAAAGGTGGTAGGTATATATATTTCCAAAATTAAGTAGGTATTCACCTGGGGATTCACTTACAATTTCTCAAATCCCATATAAAACATTATCCATCTTCCACTTCTTTCAGAGTTTTCCATGGGCGCCCGGTGGGGGGCAGGGGGGGGCATCTGCCCACCCCCTGGCTTTTAATATAAATACTTAAAGGAAAAGTAATTTGTGCACCTATCAAAAGATACAGAGAATTAACTTTTTTTCCCGTCCGAAATAAAAGTATTTCCAAATTGTTTTATTTTTTAATGTTTATTATATTAATTCCAATTAGCAAAATTTGGGTGTGGCCAAAAAAAAAATTTCCGCCTGCGGTGCGCTTTCCACGATTCCTCCAAGAGCAGTTTATTTGCCCCCGCCTGTGAAAAATTCTGCGGGCGCCGTTGGTGGAGAAATACTGTTATTTTTGAGGTTTGACAAGAAAGCTGTGAACGTTGTATATAAAGACATTCTGTAATATATTAATTGTTGTAAAAATAAAATAAATAGGTAAAAATGTAAAAAGTAAATAAGTAAAAATGTAGTGTATAAATTTAGATATTCCAAAGATAGCAGAAAATCTTCATGGTATAGGGAAAGGGGAATTGTTTTACCCCAAATTTAACGCGTGCGGGCCACGGGGAGTAATGAATAAATCAAAACTACTGGATCGATTTTAATCATTTTTTCAGTGAGTGACATAGGCTATATATTTTATACCCATGCGAAGCCGGAGCGGGCCGCTAGTAATTGATAAGAGGATGATAGAAATTCCTTTTGTTGATAGGAAATTGAAATAAGGGCTGGATCCTGAGATGTATATTTACTGTTGTATTTCAAGACTGGAATTGCATTGTTTTGATGCAATTTTTGTATTAGGCATCTGACAAAAGGTGGTAGGTATATATATTTCCAAAATTAAGTAGGTATTCACCTGGGGATTCACTTACAATTTCTCAAATCCCATATAAAACATTATCCATCTTCCACTTCTTTCAGAGTTTTCCATGGGCGCCCGGTGGGGGGCAGGGGGGGGGGCATCTGCCCACCCCCTGGCTTTTAATATAAATACTTAAAGGAAAAGTAATTTGTGCACCTATCAAAAGATACAGAGAATTAACTTTTTTTCCCGTCCGAAATAAAAGTATTTCCAAATTGTTTTATTTTTTAATGTTTATTATATTAATTCCAATTAGCAAAATTTGGGTGTGGCCAAAAAAAAAATTTCCGCCTGCGGTGCGCTTTCCACGATTCCTCCAAGAGCAGTTTATTTGCCCCCGCCTGTGAAAAATTCTGCGGGCGCTGTTGGAGTTTTCTATTCCTTTTTTAATTTTTAAGTCTGGGAAAAAAAAAGATTAAGTACCTACTGAAAATTTGTTTGATTTAATAGATTGGATCAGATTGGTTAGGTCTCGAATTAGGTGTTACGCTCGGTGTTACGAGAGGAATGTAAGATTCTTGTCAAATAATAGGGACGATTTTGGAAAGAGTTCCAGAACTATTAAATCTCTTTAAAAAGTTCAAAATTCAAAAAGGGTTCATACAAATTTGAGCAGACAATTCCTCAAATAAGTTTTGAATTAGGTACCTATCAGATTTTATGAGTTTCGATCAGATATTATTGGTAGAAGCGCCGCTTTAGTTTATTTGGAGATAAATTATATTAGGTAAGGGGCTTTAGACCCCATGGTGTGCCTGAAGAGCTAGGCTTTGGATACCATGGGACTTTTGGTCTCTCTGGAGTTTGCCAATTTTTTGATATGCAGTAGAGAATTTTATTCTCAACATTCTTTGAATGGAATCAAATCTTGCACGAGCGTCTCCCCTCGCGTCTCCTACATCTTTAATTAGGCTTGAAAATAAGGATGGTTCAATAACATTTCTGAAGCAACTTTTTGCTTTGGTTTTGTGATGGTGGATATCACCGGCTATGGCTGGTGACTTCGTTAATGATGAAAACAAAGCTGAATTGGAAATGAAGAGGAAGTTATATACTACAACTTTCTCTCCATTTTCAATTGCGACGCTTTTTGGTTGTTGTAACCGACAA